TTTTCTTGGCTGTATATCTACATAACTGATCTAGTTTTGTCATGTTTAGTACTAATGTGTTTGTGTGAGAAAGGGCTTTCAAATGATACCCAACTGGACCCATTTCTGATACACTGTATTATCAACATTGTCACCAACTGGAGGACCTGGAGCTGGGAGCCAGCCGCACAGCAGAGTGTGACAATTGAAATTATGATTCTGTAGATTTTTATGAATCATTAACTTGCTCACGGAATGAGATTTACTCCATTACGCTCCTGTTTCTGCCCAGGCGCATTCTACAGCAAGAGAAATTAAGGCCGCAGCTTGCACTGCTCCTGGGAAGCCCATTGTTATGCATCATGAGTGCTCCCCAGTATGTGTACGTGTGCTGCCACTCACATTACCCATTGCTAGGCAATGCAAGCACTTCTCAGTGTCAGACGGCATGATTCTGATTTCATTTGTGTGAAAATTAATGTACATGAATCTAGTTCACGCAGAAATAAAACAATTACTTCCTTTTGTAGCTTCTTCTGTAAGAGTGTTCCTCTGAATATACGCACTTGTGCGATGCACCCTGGCACTGCAGAACTACAGGAGCCTTCTGGAAAGCTGTGCTCGTTAGGACACCAGAAACACCCTCTCATGACAGTGACTGTTCAGAGCTCAGATTATAAAAGCGTCGTGTGGCTTTTACCGCCTCAGTTCCTTCTACAAAAGCCAAGAGCCCAGGAATAGAACCCTAAGGATTGCAGAACTGTTCTCTCAAACCAAGCATCAACTCCATATGCTAAGACAAGAGAGTAGTGTGGAGCAAATCTGCAAGGAGAACTCCATGTAGCAGACCTGCAGGTTTCTAGGATGGAAACTTTCAGAATGCAAACCAGGGATGCTGCCTTAGCACTGGTAGAGTGAGTTTTAAGATCCTGAAGTACTGACACAGTACCTATAACATATACCATAACACGTCTCAATGTACAGCCTAGTCCACTGGGACAACCACTGAATGGAAGTGGCATTCTCGTTATACTGATCCCCAAAGGCTTCCACATTTAGGAACAAAACTTTAAAGCCTGCTTTTCCCAGCTGAGGATAATATTTTGGGAAGAACATTGGGAGAACTCAGATACTACTTTGATGTAAAACTTGAGATGAGGCCACAGGTCAACTTTGCGCCTGTAAAGTCCAGTGAAAGGATTCAGTCTTCTTGCAGGAATAACTGTGATTTTAAATGCTGCCTTTACTAAGAGATGTAAATACAGAGCACTTGTTTTAAGGGATCCGCCAGTGAGTCCATCAGTCCATCAGCCTTGTCAATACACAGTTATGATTCTGTGCTATGGGACTGTGATGCTCTATGACTGAAATAGGACCATGGATATCACGGCTATTGCCACTGTTAGACAATTGCAACAAATCTTGTACAAAGTATGTCATGTAAGGTGTCAATGGAAAAGTTATCATTTGCTAAATAAGATTATCCTGTTTATATGCATGTATCATTTTTATGTCCGAAGTTATGAATATTGCTATGCACTGATACCTTACTTATGTTCTGTATTCCTGGGAAACACCTACCAGATAAGACAAGACAGCTTTGTGTTGATGGCCCATCAAAGCCAATAGCTCTCACAATGGGCCATAGCAGAAATTCATTCTGCCCAGATATCTCTTCCTGCTAATGCCTTAGCCTCCAAGGGACCAATGGCTACTCCCTGTTAGTCAGCAAGCCATGTAAGGACATGGGAAATGGACTCCATCTTGTTCCAGTAATTTTCCATCAAAAGACTCTGGCTAATTTCCAGGCACGTGGCCAAGGGTATAAAAGACCCCTGGAATGACACCATTTTGCCTCTTTCCTGCTCTGATTCTCTGGACTGTGAATTTACAACTAAAAGGAACATACTGGACTATGGACTTAGGACCTTTCAATCTTTTGGAAGTTATCAAAGACTTTACAAGCCAGCAGTCTCTATAACATCACTGCTACAAACCTGATATAAGAACATTGCCATTATTGTATGTATATGATCTGTTAACTATTTTTAACTCTTTTTTCTTTTCTTTTATTAATAAACCTTTAGATTTTACTTGCTAATGAATTGACAGCAGCATGATTATTGGGTAAGATCCGAGTTATATATTGATCTGGCTGTCTAGCTGATCTCCTTAGATCAGAAGAATCCTTTGTTTGATGAAATTGGTTTTCAGTAACTACTCATGATAGTCTCGTGTCTGGGAAGGGAAATAAGGGCTAAAATGCCTAACGCGATTGCACTTTTGGCTTCTTTTTAACCGATGTAGTGAGACAGATGTTTACTTTTGTTATTGGCTTGGTATAATCTAATGACAGAATAACCACCATTGCGGGGTGAGTCTGCCCTAGTTCTCAGCAGTTTGTCCTGAGTCTGATATTCTCAGCTGTGACCCACTGAGGCACAGTGACAGGGACCAGTGAGGAACTTTCAGCACACATAATTATTGCTTGAGCAACTACCTTAGCTGGCAGCAGTAGAATGCTGCTATCTTCCATGCACTAACCACTAGAGGGAGTCTTGACACATTTCAACAGCTTGTCACTTATTCTTCCCATCCTGATAAGGGAATGTCATCTGTGGTCTTCAAGAGTTTCAGAATACTTGGATGCTAATTTTGTCACAACCCCCACAGAGATCATCGGCAGTATTTTAATTTGTTACCATCAGTGCACAAACCTCTACTACTTGAACTAAAGTAATTCCGTTTAGCTGGAAAGCTGCTACCCTTTAGAAGGGCTAGCCATTAAAGGGGGATGCAACATTCATTTTAAGTATGTTACATCCACAAAAGATTGCTCAGAGCTGAGCACAACTGTCATAACCATACAGCTAAGGGTAGCCTAGAATTCCTCCTAATCTGTAAGGGGTTAAGGAGCTCATATAACCTGGTTGGCACCTGACCAAAAGGACCAATGGGGAAAGAAGATACTTTCAAATCTGGGAGGGGAAGGCTTTGTATGTGCTCTTTGTTTTTGTGTATTCTCTGGGAAAGCAGAGAAGCATCAGGTCAGAAAACTCCTTCTCCTAAAATCATTCTAAAATGAGTCTCAATATTGCAAAAAGAGTAAGTAAATAAGGCAAGGCACGTTAGATTATCTTTTGTCTTTAGCTTGTGAATTTTCCTTGTGTTAAGAGGGAGGTTTATCCTTGTTTTTTTTGTAACTTTAAAGTTTTGCCTAGAGGGAAATCCTCTGTGTTTTGAATCTGATTACCCTGTAAAGTTACCCTCCATCCTGATTTTACAGAGGTGCTTCTTTTACTTTTTTTTTCTTTATAATAAAGTTCTGTTTTTTAAGAATCTGGTTTACCTATTTGGTTGGTAGATTATTCTCAAGCCTCCCCAGGAAAGGGGGTGAAGGGTCTTGGGAGAATATTTTAGGGAAACAGGAACTCCAAGTGGTTCTTTTCCTAAATCTTTGTCTAACTCACTTGGTGGTGGCAACAGTACCCATCCAAGGACAAGGAAGGATTTGTGCCTTGGGGAGGTTTTTAACCTAAGCTGGTAGAAACAAGCTTAGTGGGTCTTTCATGCGGGTCCCCACATCTGTACCCTAGTGTTCAGAGTGTGGAGGGAACCTTGACAACAACATTCTTCTAATAGCTGGCTATCAGTGAAAATTTCAGTGTGGCTTTTCATTTATTTTTCAAGCTTCACTGGTTGGATTTTATCCCACTACTAAAGTCACAGGTTAATTCTTTAAGATTCCTGACTGACTGAATCTACCCCATGTGTGCAGAGGAACCAGCAGAAGCTCCTTTGGCTTAATTTCTCAATCCAGGTTTCAGAGTAACAGCCGTGTTAGTCTGTATTCGCAAAAAGAAAAGGAGTACTTGTGGCACCTTAGAGACTAACCAATTTATTTGAGCATAAGCTTTCGTGAGCTACAGCTCACTTCATCGGATGCATACTGTGGAAAGTGTAGAAGATCTTATTATATACACACAAAGCATGAAAAAATACCTCCTCCCACCCCACTCTCCTGCTGGTAATAGCTTATCTAAAGTGATCACTCCCCTTACAATGTGTATGATAATCAAGTTGGGCCATTTCCAGCACAAATCCAGGTTTTTCTCACACACACCCCCACACACAAACTCACTCTCCTGCTGGTAATAGCTTATCCAAAGTGACCACTCTCCTTACATTGTGTATGGTAATCAAGGTGGGCCATTTCCAGCACAAATCCAGGGTTTAACAAGAACGTCTGGGGGGGGGGGGGGGGGGTAGGAAAAAGGTAGCCTATTTCCCCTTGTTTTTCTTACCCCACCCCCACCCCCAGACGTTCTTGTTAAACCCTGGATTTGTGCTGGAAATGGCCCACCTTGATTATCATACACATTGTAAGGAGAGCGATCACTTTAGATAAGCTATTACCAGCAGGAGAGTGGGGTGGGAGGAGGTATTTTTTCATGCTTTGTGTGTATATAATAAGATCTTCTACACTTTGCACAGTATGCATCCGATGAAGTGAGCTGTAGCTCACGAAAGCTTATACTCAAATAAATTGGTTAGTCTCTAAGGTGCCACAAGTACTCCTTTTCTTTTTTCTCAATCCAGTGTGGGAGTTGAGGAGGTATGCTAGCTGATAATAGCAGGTCATCAGTACTGTTCTTTTCCTGATGAAAAGAAAGCCAGGTAAGGGGAGAGTTAGTCCACATAGACTCTGAAAGCAGAGGTGGGGTGGAGAGAATAGGGTGGCTGTGGGACCACTTGGGTAGTTCAGATAAGTGTGCAGGCTTTTGGAAGCTTGTCTGAAACCTTCAAAATTTCCATATTCTTATTTGAACAGTTATCTTCTCTTTGAGGAAAGTGGTTGGTTTACTGCATGCTTTTTGACATAAAGGGAGGTTGGTTTATGTGTAGTTCTTGCTATGGCCATGCTGAGATTTTTATTTTTTAAAAATTTTGCTTTTTGTGGCTCTAGAAACAGGGCAAGAATTATTTCAGTTTGGAAATTACAGCTGGTAGGGCAAATCTGGAAGGTGTTAAACTCTTTTCAAAAACCTCTTTGCATTGTAACAACTTCATTTTTCAGTTGTGCCTTTATATATCATTTTATTATTACACATCTGGTTTGTCACTTTGTTTTCTAGTACATTATGGCATTCTGCTGTGGAATGGCCAGCTTTGCTGCTGCTGTATCTTCCTCAGGAGTTAACAAGTGCCCTTGTTTGTACTGCTGGTGCACCTTGCCGCTGTTTTGTTACATTTTTACCATCCACAGTTCTCTGTGTTTTCGGTGTTGTGCACCTTCTGCACCAGTCAGATTCAGTGATGCATTAGATCCAGATTGAAAGCACTGGGAACAGATAGTGGTTGGGGGACCAGTAAGAGATCTGTCTGACTTCTCATCTGTCTGACTTCTCCTGCTTTCTCTCCCAGAGCCTAGATTTATTAACCTTCTTGATGTCATGAAAAGCTTCTCTTTTCTCTCCGCTATCTGGGTAGGGGGTAAGTTGAATCCCTGTCAATAGAGCTGTAGAGGTTACCCAATGTGCGAGATAGGGAATGCAGATCTAGAGGAATTATGACTGATGGCAATAAATTCTGCAGTATATGGCACTTCATTTCAATGTGATGTTGGTTATATTTTTTTTAAACATAGTAAAAAGTGCCCAGACTTATTTTGTTCAGTGCTTTGCTTTGTTGTGTATAAAATAAGCATTTTAAAATAGTAATGACAAGGCACTGTACTGTGGTTCTGAGTGCGACTGTACTAAGGCCTAACACTGGAGCCAAGCTTTAGTAGTTTCACATAATAGAATGTGGCAGATGGAATAGAAACAGTTTTTTGTTTTGTTGGGGCTTTTTATGGATAATACATTGTTGAAGATGTTTTGGTTTGGTTTTTGGAGTAAAGAAATCATTGTTATGCCATGGCAACCAGAATACGGAGGTAGCTTGCTGCAAGTGGGTCTGACGAAAATATCGCTGAAACCAGCCAGATTGATTAAACATCCTAAAAGTAAACATGATAGTCATTAGCATAGCATGTTGTACGTATTCTACCATCTAGACACATGAATCATTTCAGTTATGGTTGTTTGTCAAATTCTTTGACGGTGAGAGAAGAGCTGAAAAAAGTCTGATGCTGGCAAAATGATTAATACAGTTCACAAGTTTGCAAAACTACTCAACTTGATTGTTTAAAAGCACATTTTAAAAATACAAATTTTTTAAATATAAAGGAATTAGGTCTTATCTGAAAGAAGCAATAAAATCTCATAATGGTAAATGTCCAAACAGTTACAAATACTGAGCTGAAGTTCTCAATAAAGCAACTGAACATAAAGCACTGAACTGAGACACCGCATTTACAAGCTATTCCCACCGGGCTACCTCCACCAGGCAGAACTCCACAACTTGAATGGGACTCCATGCAAGTGCAGAGATGTGCCCATGTGACGCCAGTGGCAGGATCTAGCCTTTCCTTTCTTCCTTCTGCCTGGTGTTAATTATTCTACCCTCTAACGGCTGACAGCGGCAGCACAGGAGAGGTGTTGCTCGAGCAGCCTTACAGGCAACTTACTTCTTACTAAACTATTTAAATGCAGTAAGCCAGATTTTAGGTGCACTGGAAGATATCCCTACCAACTCAACTGAACCCCACAGAGCGACTTGGGATTTCCAGTGGAATAACTGAGATAGGAACACCAACTAATTAATCCATTTAGTCCAAGATCCTGTCTCTGACAGTATCTAGAAGCAAGGTTCAAGAAACTACACACAGTAGACAACCATGGAATAATCTTGTCAATAGGGATAGTTTCTTCCTAAACCTACAAGTGCGTGGACCATGCCCTGACGCACGAGGATTTATATCCCTTCTTACATTAGATAGGATAGAAACAATTTAACCGTCCATATAAATGTCTGTTCCTTTTCTGAATCCTGCTTCACTGATGTCTTATGGCAGTGAGTTCCACAATGTAATTATTCCTTGTGTAAAAATGTCTTGATGCTAAACTTGTTGCCTTTCGGCTCCATTGAATGTTCCCTTGTTCCTGTTTTGATGATGGGGTAAATAGAAGCATCCAATTTACCTTCTCTGTCCAGTGTAGATGCTTATATGCCTTCCATTATAACTCTCAATCTTCAAAGTATTTTATTTTCACAACATTCCTGTGACAGGGAAGTACTACTAGAGATGGGGGAACTGAGCCACAGAGAGCCTATATCTACACTTTGAGCTGCAGGTACAATATTATTCTTGAGGAAACGGACGTATATTTGCATGCTCAAAATAGTAGTGTAGCAAGAAACAGCAGCATCGGTTACATGCCAGAAGTTCAATCCCATCTGAAACGATAGGTACATACTCAGATGGCTAGCCCATCATGCTACCATTGTTTAGCATGGGGCCTGTGCAAGGTCTGATCAGGGTGTGACTCCTCCAGCTGGAATTTCCATTTCCAGCATACAGTCTCAGTGCTTTGCCCAAGAAGGCTGTAGCAGAGCAGGAACTTGAAGCAGGGTCTCTGGAGTGCCAGAACAATGCTCTAACCATTGGACAGTCCTTCCTCTCTGCCTCTATTTTGTATTCACTACCTCTCGTGCTCTCAATTATTATTTTCTCTAAACTAAGCAGTCTCAATCTTAATTTCTCTAAATACAGAAGTCTCTTGGTACCCCTTACCCACTTTCTTCACCCATTTCTGAACCCTTCTTCTTACTGATGTTGGGTGAACAGAACTCAATAGAGTATTTCAGGCAAGATTTATATAACGACAATATAATATTGTCAGTATTTCCTATCCCAAGCTTTATACGTATTAACTTTGTTTGTCTTTTAACTTCCACTGCACCCAGAGAGAGGTTTTCATTGAGCTGTCCATGAAGACGCCATGGTCTCCTCTGAGGGGTTAGAGTTAATTTAGAACCCAACAATAGGTATGAATAGTTCAATTTTTTTCTTCCCCTGGCTTTGGTCAACAGTGAAACTCATCTGCTATCAATATGGCCTCCTCTTTACTAACCCTGTCAGTTTTCTGTGCCAGCAGTTTGGTTCTACTCTTGGTAGAGCCCATCCCTTTTGGTTTAGGTTCGTTCTTCCTCCAAAATATTCCTCAGTTTCTAATAAACTTAAATCCCTCCTTTTTTTCCCCCTCTCATCTTCTCATCCATGTTTTGGGACTGTAAAAGGCTTCCTTTCTAGCTGGCCCTGACCATGGAAATGGATGCATTTCAGAGAAAGCTACACTAAAGGACCTTGGACTTAAGTTTTCTTTCCTAGTAACCTAAAACGTAATCTCTATAATGTTTAGATCTACCTAAATGCTATTTGCTAAATACCGTATTTGATTAATATTACCAAGATTCATAGACTATTTTATTCTACAAGTTTTTTCTGTGCTTAACCAGTTTTGTAGCTGGCCAAATAAGTCATCAAATATATTATTTGATTTAATAATGCCATAACTTTTTTTAAATTAAAAAATCCCAAAACAGGATTCTTCACAGGCAGGTTGAGCATGTCTCCTCCAGAACAGGCCTTGAACATGGGAGCAATGTGCTTCTTATATATTCCTAGTCTTACTCTTTATGCACAAGAAGTGTGAGAAATGAGTACTGATGTTGGTTCATCCTTGTTCTTACTTATCTGCAGTTGGTGAGTTGCTTTTATGGAGTCTGATGCCAGAAAGCACTGCTAATGAGTTACCAGATTATAAACTCTCTTTCACTCAGTAGTCATTTGCAAAAGCTGAAAAAAATGAGGAACACTAGGATTGAAGTAATATAAGCTAGTGCAAAAATTCCATAGACACCTAAATTTATTATAATAAATGTCTTTACTGCTTGAAAATGTGCTCGGCACTTTATAATAGGACATGGTCCACAGCCTAACGAGGTTACAAACTAATGGTCCTGATCCAGTAACTGGCTTCAGGTGAGCTGCTCCCTGCAGCTGCATGGAGTTGGTTGAAACACTGTGCACTCCCAGAAACAATCCCTGATATCAGTGGGACAACTGATGGTAATATCTGAAGGATAGGACCTAAATTTAGACATGATGCTTTGAGAGTGGGTAACGAACAGTAGCCTGGATGGTGCAAGGGTTACTAAAATAAATAATTATTCACTTTAATCATGTGCATTTCTTGATGGTAAAATCATGGGGGGGGTAATTATGAATAGGTTGACTCACTACTTGAGGGCCTCACAGACAGTTGTTTGGAACTATTTGGATTGCAGTCAGAATTAACTTAAAAACATGTCCACAAAAATAGAGACTTTAACTGGAAACACAAAGAATAGTCGTCTGCCTTCTAAACTTGTCTAGACCTTGTGCAGCAATGATGCAAAATAAGCCGTCTGCTCCTATATGGAGTGCTATTGGCAAAGCCAGTACATACGAAAACCAAATTAAAATTGTGATGATGATGATGATGATCCACTCACTGGTAAAAACGAAACCCTTCTTAAAATACTGTGTTGCGTTTTGTTCCCCACGTAGTAACAAACTGCACTGCAGCACTTTACAAAGCTGTAGAGTGAAGCAGCAAGGTGACTTCAAGGACTACAAGGCATGAGCTGTCGTATGCAGAAACTGAAACACCTCAGCCTACAGAATATGGCTTCACTCATAAGGTAAAGATTCGAGTCCATCTTCGGTTATCTAGGCTATGCAGCCAGTTGAGACTCAGGATATTCTGTTTGTTTCAATTACTTTTCTCTCAAGTGTGTAAATGATATGGTGAATTGGTAATGACCAGTGCTGGGGGAATAACTGTGATAAGCAAAATGCAATGCTGTCTGAGATTGTCATTTCTATTCAGGGAAAAAATATTCTAATTATAATGTAGCCACATTTAAAAGTGTTTCATCAAGTCCATCAGCATAAGGGCACAGTCTGACAGGCTTATCGTTATACATTTACAAATTTTGACAATCCTGTACGTCAGGACATATTCTTCTCACCTCCTGTGATTGGCACCACTGTAAATAGCTTGTTGCTCTAGATTAATCGCCTTTTCCGCAAAACATATTGATCCTCCTACCTACATTCAGGCAGCCGGTACAGTGTCCTGGATTCGTGTTAGCATGCAGAACATCCTGTGACCAACTGTCAAAGTCTCCACAGCTCTCTACACATATATGTAACTGCAGCACTAGAGTATATGCACTTCTTGAATTTAAGAGTCATATGGACACTGAGGGCTCAGTCCTGTGAAGTGCTGAACACCCTTCACTCCTGTGGCAGTTAAGAGTGCCCAGCATCTTGCAGGATTGAGTCCTTATTAATTACTGTTATTTGTTAAATGTATAATTTCTGTATAAAATAGACCTCTTGAATAACTCAGTACATTTTGCTTTATACTATACAGAAAAATAGTGTTTTTTGCAAAAAACATTGTGCATAATAAAATGGATGTTGACATAATTTTAACATTCATTTTTCAAAGATAGACATGCATAGTAACTTTTTTACTTGATAAATTCTAATCGTCTTTCACGCTTCATGTATATAACAGCAGCAGCTCAAGGCTTTAGCAGCTTTGAGATCTTGGATTGAAGGGACTACAAGTGCAAAGTATTATTAAAAAAATAAAGCATCAGTTTGTAAATGCCTTACAGTTTCGTCCTAGCCTGTCCTAGAGATTCCTTGCTGGTAGGCATGAATGTACAATACAAGATCTATTTGAAATGAAAAATGTCGTGAAGGCCCCAGTTTTCAGATCTCCTGTTTCCAACTGGAAAAGGAACTTTTTTTTTTTAAAGCAATCTCTTTTTTAAAAAAATGGGCAAGTACATGGCAGCAAAGTGAACCAATTAAAATGTCATTATATATTTCAACCTGGAGGAACCCAAAATGCTTTGCAAATGCAGCAATCACTTTCTCCACCATTGAAAAGCAGCCACCAGTGGAGTGCCACTGTTTAAATGTGTGAAAGTCGCATAGCAGACATCTCGGGCAGGAAATGAAGAATACTATCCCATCACCAGAATGCAGTTACTGATTTTGGGATTTGGCTGGGAGACCAGCACCAGCGCTCTATGGAGCAGAAAGTGCCACTGGTTCTTTCTAATCACAAGCAGTCAAGATCTCAGTTTTGTGCACATCTCTAACAGGAAATGGGGCACCTGCAGTAGTAGAGAGTAGAGTTGGGTGGGAAACGGTCCTTCCATGCTGTGAGAATTTTTCAAGATTTCTGCTCTCTCACCTCCTGAGAGAGCCAGTCTCTCTCACAGAATAGTTAATTCTTTTCACAAGGTGGGACAGCTTCTCCAAGAGAGACAGAGAAACCCGTCATGGGTTCACAGGGTCTGGTCTACAGCCGGGCCTCTAACCTGTCTCCTGGGAGTACCACTTATGTGCTGCACCCTAAGGAGCCCCACATTTCCACAGAGGCAGACCTGTGGCCTTTATGGCTTTTAGCTGGGCCTTCAATACTTTAATATTGTGTTACTTTCTGACAAAAGATCCGGTTGCGCTTGTTATAAATGTTTTGCTATGTACTCATGGTTCCTTGATGTTTTGATTTTTGGTTTTTAATTGAGATACCTTTTAGCAAAATTCACAATTTCATAGTGATTATAATTCATTAATGACTCTTGATTAATGGTGTGGAGAGTGTGCTTTTAAAATCTGTGGATGATGCCAAACTGGAAAAGATTGCAAGCACTTTGGAGGACAGGTTTAGAATTAAAAATTTGACAAATTGGAAAACTGTTCTGAGATCAACAAGATGAAATTCAGTAAAGGCAAGAGCAAAGTACTACACCTAGGAATAAAAAAATCAGTGGCCAGGTGATAGTATTGTTGTAAAGGATCTCGGGGTTATAGTGGATAACAAATTAAATGAGTCAACAGTGTGAGGCAGTTCCGAAAAAGACGATTGTAATTTTGGAAAGTATTGACAGGGAGGTTGTATGCATAACACAGGAGGTAGTTGTTCTGCTCTACTTGGTACTGGTGAGGCTTCAGCTGAAGAACTGTGTGCCAGCATCAGGCACCATGCTTTAAGAAAGATCTGGACAAACTGGAGATAGTCCAGAAGAGGGAAACAAAAGCTATAAAAGGTTTACAAAACCTGAGCTGTGAGGAAAGGGTTAAAAAAAACTGGGCATGTTTAGTCTCGAGAAAGGAAGACTGAGGAGGGACCTGACCACAATCTTCAAATACGTTAAGGGCTGTTAGAAAGAGGACGGTGATCAGTTGTTCTCCATGTCCACTGAAGGTAGGACAAGAAGTAATGGGCTTAATCTTCAGCAAAGAAGATTTTAGGTTAGATATTAGGAAACTTTCTAACTATAAGGATAGTTCAGTGCTGGAAAAGGCTTCCAAGGGAGGTTGTGGAATCCCTATTTGAGGTTTTTAAGTATAGGTTAAACAAACACCTGTCAGGGATGGCCTGGTATATTTGGTCCTGCCTCCGCTCAGGGGGCTGGACTAGATGACCCTCGAGGTCCCTTCAGTTCTACGATCATATTTAGCTATGACTTTAAAACAAGTAGCGAACTTGACATCAGAATCAGCTGTGGGGTTTTTTGTTTTGTTTTTTAAACAAAGCCAACTCTCTGTTACCTTGCTTCTTTGGCATAATTGCCAACACCACAAAATACCTGCACGTGCTGCATCACATTCACTAACTATAGAACTTAGTAAGCAAAAGGAGGGAACATGACATCCTGTCATAAAGAAAATTATTCCCCCCCAATTTTTTTTTGAGCTATACCAATGTGAACATAATCTCCCGGGTGCATGCTCTTGTTTCCTTACAAAAGATCTGAAAGAGATGGAGTGAAGAGAAAATCAAAAGGCTAGTATTTACCAGTCTCAGTCTTCCAGGTACTCGGCAGAATTATCATCTTCTAGCCTGAAATATAAAGGAGCTCAGAGACAGACCACTGATGGTAATTAACAACTGCACTTTGTAGGCTTTCAGTCTAATGAATACATAAATGAAAAATCAATGAAGGAGGCTTCCAAAAAAAGAACACCACACCAGTCTTAATGATATTCAAGCTGGCTAAAATACAGTTTCCAACCTACTAGAAATCTCTTCTGTTGAACGGGGCACCTGCTACTGGCAATGCTATAAAATGCTATCCTGTTCATTTATATTACTTTATTATACAGTTTATCATCTGAGGAAGTCACTAATCCTTTTATTGATAAGGCAAACAAGTATATTGATTTTTTAATTTGAAAAACATTAAAATAACTACATCTCCAAAGCTTTTAGTTCAAAAAGATAAGAAATCAAATCCTTCAATGCATAAAATTTTTCTGCATCATTTGAGGAGATTTGGAAAATCTCCTCAAAATGAAGCAGATGTTCTAAATAACCCCTTAAAGGGGATGGATTAAGCTCTGTACACCACCAGGCTTAGCTGAAGCTGCAATTCAACATTATAAATTGACAACTTCATCTCCCTTTAGCTGAAGAAATATAGTATACGTTTTGTCCTTGTTACAAAGAGTTTCTGCAATCTCAGTATGAATACTTAGTAGGATATAACAATGGATAGTCACATCCCAAGGGGATCAGAGACACAAGACTTCACTAAGTGTCTAATATTCAATGATGTGATCACCTTTTTGGCCATCATGCACGATATATTGCCTAAGCTGACGGTTCTGTGTTAAAGTAGATCTCTACACTGCTGGAACTGTTGTGATTTCTTTACAGTGTCTGTTAGCAGCAGAATTTGATCTGGTATAGCAATTAAGTTCAAAGGGCCAGAGCCTCATGAGTTACACTGATCAAACATCTCTGCAACCAAGGTCTTGCACTGGTGTGTAACTGGAAAGCTTGGCCCAAGGTACCTAAAAGATCTTTTGCCAAGTGATGACTTAGCTGCTCATGGTACAATGGCAAATACAGCTGCCATTATGCACTCAGCACCAGCTCGCCTTCCCAGTAGCATGTCTCGCCTTCCCAGTAGCAAAGAAGGGTTTGGAATTTGGATGCTCTGGGAGGGAGAAAAATTATTAGATACAGACTCAAGCCTTTGCAAACGTATTTTTATTTACATTACACACATGGTGCCTGACTTCACCCTATCCAGGGGTGGATTAACAGCAAAAGCAGCAGCAAAGCTGACAATTCACAGGAGTACCTCCACTTTCAGAACTCTGGCAAAAGCACCTGTTTGAACAACTTCAGCCAGCTCTCTCTTGCTATTTTAAAGACTGTCTCAGTGGGCAGGTGGAAGTGCCCAGAGAACTTCCTAGTCTGCTGATTGGCTCCCCTGTGATGGGAACATCCCAAGAATTGTCAAAGGATCAATGGGGCATGAGTGACTGTGGGCTGTCCCCCGATGGGAACCTTGGATGTAATTTGACTAAAGTTGTGGCCTGGTTAAAGCCCATACCCTGTGTCCTTGACACCTCCTGAGCACACCCAGGTCCTGATCCGACAAAGACTTCTGCTTACCTAAACTGTTGGGGAAGAGTTAACATGGTTTTTGTAAAGGGGAATCATGCCTGGCCAGTATACTAGAATTCTTTGAGGGGATCAACAAGCATGTGGACCAGGGAGATCCAGTGGATATAGTGTACTTAGATTTTCAGAAAGACTTTGACCAGGTCCCTCACCAAAGACTCTTAAGCAAAGTAAGCTGTCATGGGATAAGAGGAAAGGTCCTCTCATGGATCAGTAACTGGTTAAAAGATAGGAAACAAAGGGTAGGAATAAATGGCCAGACATTCTGTCCCTCTCGCTCACTATTGTGGAATGCTTGGGATGAAGAGGCATGGCCTTTGGTGTGTGTCTGAGGAGGTAGGCATGGTGCAGGCTCTGTCCCCTCAGGCACAGCAAAATGTAGCAGACTGCCTGCTTAATGAATTGTTCCCATTGTCTTTGTGAATTCCCCCAGGAGCATAAGACAGGTGTAAAAGTTTTAAGGTTCCTTTACATGATCAGAGTTGTGTAAAGGACAGTATGGCCTTATGAATGCTTATGGTGCTTTAGTGATTAGAACTGGTCTAAATTTTTGGACTGAAAATATTTCTTATCAAAATGTGCTCCATGAACTGTTTGTTACTGACATTTCTGGAGCCAATATAAATTTCCGAGCCCTCACTTGTTCTTCAGTTGCCTATGATGTAACACTGAGCATATGGTTGCATATATTTGTTGACTAATAACTAGAAATAAAGGGTCAAACCTAGCTACATTACTATTAGGCAAGCTTTCTGGGGATTTCCTCCAATGCTTCCCATTCTCCATCCATTGTATTGTAGTTTGAATAAATTACCTAAATAATTGAAACCAGCATGAATATATTGTGGTATTTTGACAAATAAAATATGCAGAATTTTGCAGAATTTTTAATTTTTTGGTGCAGAATTCCCCCAGGAGTAAATTATACATATAAAATGATGGGATTTAAATTAGCTGTTGCCATTCAAGAAAGAGATCTTGGAGTCATTGTGGATAGTTCTCTGCAAACATCCGCTCAGTGTCAAGCGGTAGTCAAAAATGCTAACAGAATGTTGGGAATCATTAGGAAAGGAATAGATAATAAGACAGAAAATATCATAATGCCTCTATATAAATCCAGGGTACACCCACATCTTGAAAACTGAGCGAAGATGTAGTCACCCCATCTCAAAAAAGATGGAAAAGTTACAGAAAATGGCAATAAAAATGCTTAGGGGTATGGAACAGCTTCCATATGAAGAAAGATTAAGACTGGGACTTTTCAGCTTGGAAAAGATTAAGGGGGGATATGACAGAGGTCTATAAAATCATGACTGGTGCGAAGAAAGTAAATAAGGAAGTGTTATTTACTCCGTATAACACAAGAACTAGGGGTCACCCAATGAAATCAATAGGCAACAGGCTTAAAACAAACATAAGGGCAGGGATGGTGTCCCTAGCCTCTGTTTGCCAGAAGCTGGGAATGGGCGACAGGTAGTGTTCCCTCTAATTTTTTACATCCATGTGCTGAATGAATTTTGTTATGTGCACCAATATGGAGGTGATGTGTGACACATCACCTCCATATTGGCGCACATAACATTCATGTGGTGGGGATGGTGCCGAGGGGTTCGGAGTGTAGGAGGGGGCTCAGGGATGGGGCAAAGGTGTGTGGAGGGATGAGGGCTCTGGGGTGGAGCTGGGGATGAGAGGTTTGGGGTGCGGGAGAGGGCTCAGGCCTGGGGCAGAGGGTTGGATGCAGGAGGTGAGAGCTCTAGCTAGGGGTGAAGGTTCTGGGGTGGGGCTGGGGATGAGGGGACTGGGGTAAAGGAGGGGGCTCAGGGCTGGGGCAGAGGCTTGGGGTGCAGAGGGTGTGGGCTCTGGGGTGGGGCTGGGGATGAGGGGTTTGGGGATGCAGGCTACCGCAGGACTGTGGTGGGGAGAGAGGACTCCCCCCAGCCCTTTCTCACCTCAGCAGCAGGGGCAGGGGCAGCTCACAGCAGCTCTGGCGGGCCTGGGTCTGGGTCGGGCCAAGGGAGGGGCTCCTCTCTCCTGGCAGCGGCAAGTCCGGGGCAGGTCTATGTTTGGGCCAGGGGAGAGGCGCCTCTCCCCTGGCCACGGCAAGTCCGCACAGGGGCCGGCGGGGAGGGGTGCCTCTTCCTGCCACCACAGGTCCATGCTGGGGGAGAGGCATCTTTCCCTGACACAGCCCTGAGCCCCTGCATGGGGCTTCATAGGCAGCTGAGCAACCGCACAGCTTAGAGGGAATTTAGGCAATGGGATGGATCACTTCATGATTACCTATTCTATTCATTCCCTCTGAAGCACCTGGTATTAGCCACTGCTGGAAAACAGGATACTGGGCCAGATGGACCTTAGGACTGACCCAGTATGACCATTCTTATGTTCTTACATGCTGTGGGCAGTCCTATTGAAGTCAAGTCTTTGCAGGACTTTGCCCAAGTGTCTTAAGTCCTGATGAAGGATGGGTGAGATCCCAGAGGACTGGAGGACGGCAGACATAATCTGTCTTTAAAAAGAAATAAATTATTATACAATCAGTTTGTTCACATCAGGAGAGGCCAACATTGATCTGTCAAGAACAAATCATGCCAAACCAGTCTAATTTCCTTCTTTGACAGGGTTAGGGGCCTAGTGGATAGGGGCAAGTGTTAGATGTGATATATCTGTACTTCAGTAGTAAGGCTTTTGACTCACATCCACATGACAGTCTCACAAGCAAACTAAGGATATGTGGTGTAGCTTAAATCACCAGAGGGTGGGTTCACAGCTGGTTGAAATTCCTTACTCAAAGAATAGCTGTCAATGGTTTGCTGTCCAATGGGAGAACATATCAAGTGGGGTCTGTCTTGGGTCTGGTATTTATTCAATATGTTCGTTAAAGACTTGGATAATGGAGTGGAGAGTATGCAATAAAATATGTGGATGACACCAAGATGGGCGGGTTTGGAGTATGTCTACAATGGGTCTGGGAGTGAGCCTCCCAGCCCGGGTACACAGGCTCATGCTCGCAGGGCTTGTGATACCACACTAAAAAGAGCTGTGTAAACGTTTCTCAGATGCCGCACCTCAAACTGGAGCTTGGACTCTCAAGCCCACCCCACTCTCAACCACGCATTGTACAGAGCCCCAGCTGTGTTGTCTAAGCAACTGTGTGTTTGGGTTCTTCTGAGTTACCGTTGTGAATCTGAAGAAATAAAATAGTGTTACATTGCAACCTTCCAGCAAGCATGTTTGGTTTTTTTTATAACTTTCCTGTGTGTATGCCATGAACAGTGTTGGCCCTTGACCCAACAGCAAGGCAGCCAGGCCAAATTTTAGTGAGTTGCCTTGTGATCCCATATGCCAGGATGCAATGTCACTCACTCAGCTATGACCCAGCTGCCCACCCCCACCATCACAACAGAGGTGTGGACCAAAATTTGATTACGTGGTGATGTGACCTGCCACATGGGATCAGAACACCACTCAAATTTGGGGCAGACAGGCAGGTAACCTTGGTCCTCGCCTAAGAAAAATTCTGGCTGTGCCCCCAGCTGTGAACATAACATCAACAAATTGGAAAAAAACCCAAAGGAGAGCAACAAAAATGATAAGAGGTTTGGAAGACATGACCTACAAGGAAAGGTTGAAAGAATTAGGCACGTTTAGTCTAGAAAAGGGAGGGGCATGATAAGTCTTCAAATATGTAAAAGGTTGTTATAAAAATGATGATCAATTGTTCTCCATGTGCACTGGAGCGCAGAACAAAAAGTAATTGGTTTAGTTTGCAGCAAGGTAGCTTTAGATTAGATATTAGGAAAAACTTTCTAACTACAAGGATAGTCAAGTACTGGAATAGGCTTCCAACGGAGGTTGTGGAATCTCTGTCACTGAAGGTTTAAAAGAACAGGTTGGACAAGCACCTGTCATGGATGGTCTAGGTATACTTGGTCCTGCCTCATCAACATGGAGGACTGGACTTGATGACCTTTTGAGGTTCCTTCCAGACCTACATTTCTATGAGTAAGCCCAATCTGCAGCAATAGGGCACCTTTAGTGTGGACTACTATAATTATCTTTCCACTTTTGGTACACCTGAACATTAGAAGCTTTTCTTTAAATATTGAGGGAAGGAAGGAATTTTGGCCAGGACTTGGGGGTTATCCCCTATTCCTTTATTTATATATTAGTCCCCCAAAAGAATGTAAATACAACCGAATGTAACATGCTATTAACTAACAAAGACCAACTCCCAGCTATGAAATAAAATAAAACTACAATGGAAAAACTAAGAATAAATCTAATAATCATAATGTTGCAAAATGGAATTGCTAACATCCACCTGGACAGCTATTAAAGACACTGACAAAAGACTTTGATTTAACATTGCACTGTAAGAAGTTCTTCAATGTAGTCACTTGTCAGTGTTGCATAGTAGTAACATATAAAGGTTTAGATAGTGGCTATAAGTCACTGACTGTATTATAAAGAAGATCTACTCATCAGCAGCAGTGCCCAGACACATTGTATCTGAGATAGACTCAACATCTCTGGAAGTGCATCTGGCAGCACCTGTTTCTATTTCATTCAGCCCTTTTACAGGGTTTATTGTGAGTAGGGTGACCATATTTCCCTATGCTGAATATGGGACACCTGGTAAAATTATTCATATTCAAGTGAGTTGAATAGCAATCAATCAGAACTATGCAGTACAAACGTTCAAATTAGCATCAAGTTGACTGAACCCCTGTTAAAAAGAAATACTGAGTAGTTGGATTCTTTTAATTTACCTTCTTATCTTTAAGGCTTTAGGGCTCACACGGGGAGAGGTCACACACACACGCGCTCCCATACACCTCTCTCACACGGGAGTGGACCAACTGACCCAACCCTCCTGCCCATTGCTCTTCGCCATCCATGGCTGGCTGGGCCCCCAGAATGGACTCACATCTCCTGGTACCTGGTGCCATGCCTTCCCGAGGCAACACATGGGGTCACATGCTTTCCCCCCTGCCTCCATATTTCTGCCAGGGTTCACACCAGAATATGGCCAGCAGCAGCTTTTCAGCACTGTGCAGGAGGGAAGGGATGGGGAGCTGCTTCCAGCCACAGGGAGGAAGGGATGACGTGGTCCATGTCTTTGCAGAGCTCATCTCTTCCCTCCCCCCGCCCGCTCATAGCTGGAAGCAGCTTGCCCCTTCCTGCCCGCACATTGTCGAAAGGCAGCTAACACCTCCAGGCTGCTGCTGGCCACCGACCTAACCTGGCCACCTCTGGCTCCAGTGCAGGCAGGAAGGGGTTAAGCCCTAAAGAGGCATTGTGCACCAAGGCCCTGGGAACCTGACTGCTGGGGCTTCAGCGAGCCCGACCAGAGAGGTGGCTCAGCAGGAGAGGGTGCCTAGGGGACGGAGCAGCCCCGCGCTCCCTGTGGGCAGGGCGCAGGGCAGGTGAAGAGGGTGCTAAGCCCCTGCCTGGGGGGCTGCTGTGGAGCCTGCAGGGTCAGGGCCCAAACAGGCTGGAAATCGCTTTTCCCCCTCCCCCCACCACTCCAGAGCTGAGCTGAGGGGCGGAGAGGCTTCCCCGTGCCAGTGCTGTGCAGGGCTTTTGGCACATGCAGGGCTCGGCTCCTCCTGGCCAGCGCCCTGGGCTGAGGGGTCTTGGGATTTCCTGAGGCATCACCTCAGCCAGAGGCAGTGGAGGAAGGAAGGAGCCTGCCGGCCAGGCTGTTGGTAAGCTGAGCACTCCAATCGAGGGCTGGTTCTCCGCACAGTGCTGGGAGTGGGATGCACCCCGCCGGGGGCGATATGGAGGAGCAGCGGGGCTGGGGGGTGATGGGGCAAAGCAGGGAGAGGACAGCAAGAGGGGGGGCACGTAAAGGGCAGATGGGTGGGCAGCAGAGGCAACATGTAACCGACTGCCACCTGCTGCCTGCCCGCACTCACCAGCCACCGCAGCTCGCACCGTGCAGCCAGTGCTAGCAGGAAACAGGACGGGGGCAGGGTTTTGCTGGCTGAGAGCCAGCACGCAGCAGGGGCTATGCTGACAGACCAGTAAGGGAAGTGGCTGGCCCTGCATGCTGCAGCTTCGCCCCACTACCAGCCTTGCACACCCACACCCATCGTCAGCCACTGGACCCCCCGCAACTCACTGCTGGTGGATGGGCATCTGGCGAGCAGGGATCCAGCCAGCAGCAGGAACCGTCAGTACTGATGGGGATGGAGGGGAGACAGAAAATACAGGACAATTTGCCCGTTTTTAAGAAAAAGTGAGGACGCTTGCAGGAGGGCTTAAATAAGGGACTGTCCCTTTAAAAATGGGATGTCTGGTCACCCTGATTGTGAGTTACTCTCTTTATCTCTCCAGTGCACTCTGTTGTCCACGGTGGAAGGGAGTTGAAGACATGGCCTTGCCTTTGCCCCAGCCTATGTGGCTTCTAATAGTGCTATACACCATCCCTACACACCAGGAGTATGAGTAGAAACTCCTTGGGTTCTCTTGCCTTCACTCAAACATATGTCTGCCATAGGCCTATCTAGCCCTAAGTAGCCATTTAAGGCCTTGTGGACATCAAACACACACCCTTCTTTCTAGAAACAGGGCTAGAATGCTACAGAACATGGAGACTCAAAAAATATGAGATTCTAACATGCATTCTATAGACTATGTTAAAATAACATGGGCCAGAGCCTTAGCTAATGGAGCTAGTCAGCTATACGGATTTACACAAGATGAGGCTCTGGCCTTATATATTTTACAAGGTCATTGAAAACAGGAAAAGTGAGCAAATTTTAAAAGTGAGGACAGAATCTCCCTCTACGTTCTTCATGCTGTGTATAAAATAAGGTATCATGCCATGAGTAATGGACAGCTTCCTCAGTGCAAATGATCTGGGAATCGTTGGTTTGGGTTCACAACTTTAAACATTCTTTTTAATTTCCTTGTAAGGGTTTCTCTCTCTCAAAACCTGGAAGATCCCAGAGTGTATACTTACCACGAAAGAAATCGGAATAGGTCTATTCTACTTCCACGTGGTTCACCTTGCATCTGCATGCCCTGCACATTTGAGGTATCAAGCCTCCAAAAAGGGTTATGATCTGACTGAAGGATGGCAGATTTAATCAAAAAAAATTGTTCATATGCCACCATTTGAAAAAGGTAGTTTGCTGGGCTGTATAATGGGCACAAATTAAAGCTGAAGCAAAGTAAAGCCTGTAAACTGGAGAGGCTATCTAGCCACTGGGTGGAAAGTTCTTGACTGTCTTTGTCCAAAGTGGCACATTTCAGTATGGTTTGTTCAGGTAAAAGAAAACGACCTACTTCTGAGAACAAGAATTAACAGGCATGTTGTAATTGGTACCCGTTCTTGGGACTGCGCTCCCAGGGTATGATTAGCAGAAATTCTCCTAGCTTTAGAACTCTAAAGCCATTAAGCCACCTCACTGCTGAGTGTTGCGTGCCAGCCCCTGCTGGGAGACATTGTACCCTCTACTAGCCCCTGCTGCCTCTTGCAGTCAGCTCTTTTTCAGGAAAAAGTTAGAAACAAACACCACAAAATGCAACCCAACTTTGTGGGGACAGTGGGTGGAGACATATTATTTAAAAAAAACCCACAAAAGACCAGCATTTTGCTCCAGGGATTTCTCTCTAAGAGGATTACACAGCAGTAAAATTTTGTTACAATCTGGCAACGGTAACGTTTAGGTTTCAAAGAAGCCACATGATTAGATCACCTGAAAACAACCATGTTTAGACATGATTCTGTAGGAAAGTTCTGCTAGCATGGGCCTTTATTCAACTCTCATTGAAGTCAGTGGGTGTTTTTGCTGTGGGATGCAATGGGACTAGGACCATAGACTCCTTTCATTGTAGACAGGGACAAATCTGGTAAAGACAATTATAATAGGCTGCATCTGATGCATATTAAAAATTCTTATGATGCTGCAGAAGATCTGAAGCCACTTTTCAGACTTTAGCATTTCAGCTAATAAAAGATTTTGTGCACTGACAAAATAAATTAAATCTTGTTTATTTTATATTACAGTAGTGACAAAAGGCTGGGGATCCATTGTGGTAGACAAACACAGTAAGGAGATGCTGCCAAGGAGAGTTTTTATAATCTAAGTAGACACTGGAGACAAAGGATGGGGGATAGTGTGTATTACGGTCTCCAGTTTACAGATAGGGAGTGGAGGCAGCAAAAGATTAAGTGACTCACCCAAGATCAATGGGGAGTCTATGGCAAAGCTGGGATAGTCTAAATCTCAGGCCAGTGCCTTAATCATAAGACTTACACAGAGGAAAAAAATCACTCTCAAAATTAAGTTTACCTGAAATAAGTTTGGAGGTCTATAAAGGCAAAGCAGCATGGCAAACAGCACACTAGTTTATAAGGCGATATAATTTTAAATTGGTTTTGTCAATTACGTTGAAATTTAATTTAAAAAAAAATTCAGCCCCCAGGCTGCTTGCTAAATATCCCACTGGAGAGAATGTTTATGGTTGTAGTTTGTCGGCATTCATCTTGAAGCTGATAAATGAATTTTCAACTTCAATTTTGGGCTGTCTAATAATTCTTTTGCAAAGAGATATGGACCATCTCACAGGGTTGGGAATGCAGAGCTTCTCAGCCACTAGGCCTGCCTGTTCGAATTCAGCTAATGTCCAATAGAGTCTGAAGGTGATTGCCACCTGTTGCAATGTGAAATTATTTTGGTTTCAGTTGAGTTCATGGTGGCCAGGAGTCCACATCCCAAAACCCACCGCCATTAATTAACTGGCATCTTTGTTGACCTTGATTGGCAACCTCATTGCAGGAGGGAAGCCAGTAGCTGAATGGATTTGCATCTATCCTCCCTTCCAAGAGAGAATACCGGCAGCGTCGGGCTGAGGCACCTTCTTGGGTAGGAAGGTGTGAAGAATCTGCACTGCCTCTGCCCATACTGTATCTGCCAATGGGCGGTTGCCATACTCCGGCCTGTCAGTCCTGCACCTTTCCTGGGTATGACACGTCTCTTCTCATGAGAGCTTTAACAAAATTTGGAAAGCTGCTTGTCCAACCATTGCAGTAGAGCAAGGCAATAGTAAAGCAAGGCAACTGTGGGTCCCCGACGGAAGTATCAACCACACAGAAAAGTGGTACTTCATGCTGATTTCATTCAAGTCAAGCAGTGGCATGTCCACAAGAGTGCAGTGGCATTTCAAGCCCACACAAATTAAGAGGTTCCCTCACTCATAATTTTCTCCAACATTTTATGGGAATATGGAGGCTAGGTGACCGCAGGATGTTTCTGTCCATCCAATCAATAAATCTGTTTTGTAAGTGCAATTAGCTCATCTTTATGAGCTAAAGATTTTGACACGACTTGTCAAATTTGGCAGAGGAGGTGTGAGTTAAGATCTAATCAGAATAATTGTTTTTAGCACTGACCACCATTTAATGTGGTGGTGATAAGTAAATTTGGCCTAGAAAATAGGACACAATTCCCTTGTGAAAACTCAGTGCTGACAGTTGCAAAATTTACTTTTTAAAAATTAAACAATTCTCCCTTTAAAGAGATGCTAGAGAATAAAGGGAGATTAAACTGACTGAAAGTAATAGAGGGAAGGACAAGGGGGGGGGAGAGAAAATCGGTTTCTGGTCCATCTGGATGCCTTCCTTGATCTTGGTTTCTCTGCAGTCACTCTTTTACCAGAGTCACTTTTTGTTTTCTAAATACAACCACCTGCAATAACCCAACCCACCTTCACTGCATGTGGAATAAAAGTGAGCCAATCATTAGGCTTTTAAAGGTGATGTAAGCACAACTTACATACATGCATTCAGTATGTCGGATGGGTTAAATGGAAGAAAAAAATTGTACAAGTGATTGATGTGCTAAATTTACCCTTCCATTAAGTAAAAAACAATTTTTTTGCCCACTGTTGACAAATACTAAGAAATGTTTACCTGTTTTTACTAAAAAGAAAAGGAGTACTTGTGGCACCTTAGAGACTAACCAATTTATTTGAGCATGAGCTTTCGTGAGCTACAGCTCACTTCATCAGATGTTTACCGTGGAAACTGCAGCAGACTTTATATACACACAGAGAATATGAAACAATACCTCCTCCCACCCCACTGTCCTGCTGGTAATAGCTTATCTAAAGTGATCAACAGGTGGGCCATTTCTAGCACAAATCCAGGTTTTCTCACCCTCCACCCCCCACACAAATTCACTCTCCTGCTGGTGCTAGCCCATCCAAAGTGACAACTCTTTACATAATCAAGTAGGGCTATTTCCTGCATAGATCAAGGTTTTCTCACATCCCCCCACCCCCATACACACACAAACTCACTCTCCTGCAGGTAATAGCTCATCTAAACTGACCACTCTCCAAGTTTAAATCCAAGTTAAACCAGAATATCGGGGGGGGGGGGGTAGGAAAAAACAAGAAGAAACAGGCTACCTTGCATAATGACTTAGCCACTCCCAGTCTCTATTTAAGCCTAAATTAATAGTATCCAATTTGCAAATGAATTCCAATTCAGCAGTTTCTCGCTGGAGTCTGGATTTGAAGTTTTTTTGTTTTAAGATAGCGACCTTCATGTCTGTGATTGCATGACCAGAGAGATTGAAGTGTTCTCCGACTGGTTTATGAATGTTATAATTCTTGACATCTGATTTGTGTCCATTTATTCTTTTACGTAGAGACTGTCCAGTTTGACCAATGTACATGGCAGAGGGGCATTGCTGGCACATGATGGCATATATCACATTGGTGGATGTGCAGGTGAACGAGCCTCTGATAGTGTGGCTGATGTTATTAGGCCCTGTGATGGTGTCCCCTGAATAGATATGTGGGCACAATTGGCAACGGGCTTTGTTGCAAGGATAAGTTCCTGGGTTAGTGGTTCTGTTGTGTGGTATGTGGTTGTTGGTGAGTATTTGCTTCAGGTTGCGGGGCTGTCTGTAGGCAAGGACTGGCCTGTCTCCCAAGACTTGTGAGAGTGTTGGGTCATCCTTTAGGATAGGTTGTAGATCCTTAATAATGCGTTGGAGGGGTTTTAGTTGGGGGCTGAAGGTGACCGCTAGTGGCGTTCTGTTATTTTCTTTGTTAGGCCTGTCCTGTAGTAGGTAACTTCTGGGAACTCTTC